CTGCACGCGTAGGCCGACGCAGTCTGTCTGGCTAAAAGCATTCAAAGCCGACCTAGACAAGGACAGCTCATGCTGGTCGCCGGGATGCCCGCGGCCCAGCCCGCACTTAGGACCCGGCTAGCCGAAGTCAAACTTCTTCCCGCTTATTCTCCATTCCTGTGTATAAAGAATAAAATATTCCTACTATTCTGGCCTCCACCGACTTCTTCTCTCCTAAGAAACCATGGTCTGAAGACTGCAGTTGCTTAGGTTTCATTTGCTTACTTCCCTGCGATATTTGTTTTCAAGCGTGGTGCTGTGAAATTTCAGTCGTGCAACTATGAAAACCTTTCACTGGCGCTTTTTGGAGCCAAAGATCAGGCATAGGAAATTCAGATTTAGGCGTTGGTTCTACAAAACGGTGGCATTTTAGTTCCAGCAATGTCCTAATAGGGTTATGTTGATAATAATCTTCTTAACCGAGCTGGGAACATGGTTATATAAATAAGGATGCTGTTCAATCACTGGGACTACAGGGTGTCCCAAAAAAATGTATACACATTTTAAATAATTGTAAACTTCGTATTTATTGTAATTTTATTATTTAAAAAGTGTAGAACTCTTAACAAGTATCATTTTATTGTCTTCTCATTGCATGTTGTCAAACTGACATCCATTTAACCCAGACAGTGCTGACAATGCGAAGCAATGGAATCGCACACACCATAAAACAGTTCCATTTGTATTTGGCGCATTCATGTTCAATAGCTTCTCTCTTTCTCAATTATTTAAAATATGGTGAAAATTCGGTGGAAGAACAATAAAATGCTACTTCTTAATACTTTAGCATTTTTGAAATGATAAAATGATGATAAACCTCAAAGTTACAATTGTTCAAAATGTGTATACATTTTTTTGGGACACCCTGTATTTATTTATTCCTCTGAGTCTAGCGTCAGACATAAAAGTGGCAAAAAACAAGCCTATCTGAATGAGAAGGTTCGCGATCCAGGTAATTGTATGGACGAGGAAGAAGGCA